ATTGGGAAGGGGCAGACGGCATATCTCCCCAAAGGTATCAGAAGCATCTTCCTGTCTTTGTTCTTTTATCCCTAACTGTCCTTGCACTAGAAAAACCACACACATGGAATTACCCCTCCTTTTGCCCCTGTTTTCCACCAGCAGGACAGGCAGGGTGGAGTTTCATGCAGGAGAAAAATGCCCAGGAGACCAGGGGAATGGAGAACTGGGTTTTAGGCTGCTCTGTGCCCCTCACTAGCCTAACAACATAGCATGTCACACAGTTCTTAGGACCTCAGTTTCTTCCCTCTGCACTGAGCAGAAGAGCACAAACCTCCCAGGTAGCTGATGGGGCACTAGGGGACTCTGAAAACATGACCTGGGTGGTGGTAGTTTGCCTCTGTCCTGCCGTGGATCTGACTTCCATGCACATGTGTCCATCAGGGAGAAGGCTTGTGGTCAGAGCCACTGGTATACTTTGCTGCCCTGTCCCTGAAGTCCAGTGCTCTCTGTTACTGGGACAAATCACTACAGACTTGATGGCATGAAACAACAGAGGTGACCTCATCGTTCTGCAGGCCAGCTGTCACCAGCCATGTGTGCTTTCCCAAGTCCCTGGTGGAGACCTCTTCTCCTCTTCTTCAGCACGTGGTGGCTTCAGGCCCCCTGTGACTTTGGCCACACCCCGACCCTCTTTGCCTGGGTGGTTGCATTGCCTTTTCCCCAGTTCTGTGTCTTCTGCTTCATCGGACCCTGGCCCCCCTTTCTTTGCCTTGCCCTGTGTTCCTAAACAGAAAAACCTCCCCGGGTGCTCAGTGCAGTGGGGATGGGCTCGTGTACTCCGTCTGAGGGCAGAACCTCAGCCCTCTACTCAGCAGCTCCCAGCCATCACCCAGACCCGCCTCCGCTCATGTCTGTCTTCTTCTTGCTTTGAGCTGCAGCTGGCTCACCCCATATCACCTCTACCCTGGCTTTGGACCTCCGAACATAGCTTCCCTAAATCAGATTGTTGATGCCAGCTGAGGTCTGCCAACGACTTCAGTGTGACAACCCCCTTGCCCCTCTGCTTAGCTGCTGCTTTTATTCCATCCTGCCCTCGTTACTTCCAGAACCTTCAGGAGCCAATTTAAACTATAAAGATGATTTGGGATGACTCAACTCTACAGTTTTGTTAAAGGAAGGTGACCTCAATGACACATCAGTAGCTTCATGGTAACTGATTACCTGAGGCAAGAGCTCTGCTTAAGACCTAAGCCCTGCCTTTTTAGTGACCATGGGAACAGCTGGAGTGCTTATTAGGCAGGTTCCTGGTCAGTTCTCACAGCACCTTGTGAGACAGGCTTAGTGCCATCACTCATAGGTGACATCATGCGTGACACCATGTGGCATTCTGGGAGTCAGCCTTGTCAGGTTTGTTCCAGATAATTCTGGGACTGCTTCATCACTTAGGTAAGACGTTTGAGCTGGCCAAAGCCAAGGTCAGTAAAAACACAAATGAACGAAGAGCCATGACTATCTGTGGGTGTCTTGGCACTGCATAGATAAGCCCATGGCTTGCTGAAAAGAATCCATGTTCTGCAGAAAGCCTAAGATTGGCCCAGTGCTCCAAGGATAGGAAAGGCATTCTAGGAGGATACTTTGGAAGGGCATGTCTGCTAGGAAGAGAGCAAGTTTTGAAAACTGATTATGTCTGAACCCAGTATAGTAATTGGGAGCTAGCCACATAGTGTCTCTGAGCCTCAGTTTCCCTTCCATATAAGGAGATTAGTGGACTGGTATAAGACTAAGATTATGGGGGCTGAGAGATGGCTCAGGGGTTAAGAGCACTGGCTGCTCTTCCAGAGGTCCTGGGTTCAATTCCCAGCAACCACATGGTGACTTACAACCATAGGATCTGATGCCCTCTTCTGGCATGCAGGTATACACACAGAGCACTCATACATAAAATATAAATAAATATTGTGTATGCAATTAGACATTCAGCAGGTGCTTAGCAGTCACACCTCTGCTGGAACTCCCTTATTTACCCTGGGAGGCCTTCTCAAGCTTCCCACTTCATCCCTCCAGCCAAGGCAGCCTGTCCCTCCTGGAGCCTTCTCATCATGTGTTGACAACGTAACCTGCTGGGCGGCCGCTCGTGTGGACCTGGGTGCTTTCCTCTGTTGCCAGGGCCTGATGTGGTTAGCTTGCTAGCTTGACCCACTCTAGGATCATCTGGGAAGAAAGTCTCAGTGAGGAAGTATCAGGATCAGGTGGGCCTGGGGGCATGTCCAAGGAGGGTCTTCTTTTTTCTTTTTCTTTCTTTCTTTCTTTCTTTCTTTCTTTCTTTCTTTCTTTCTTTCTTTCTTTCTTTCTTTCTTTCTTTCTTTCTTTCTTTC